CTAACTGGTAGATGCGTTGTTTTCAGGCATTTTTTCTTATGAACAGTGATGCCAGGAATCATCTTGTATGTGTCTCAGTGCACACTCGGAGAGTGCTTTAGGATCAGTTGCTTGACACAGAGCTGCACAGTAAAAGGAACCCGGACATCAGTGACTGCATGGATGTTACTAGTCTGCCCTCCGAAGGATCTTGCCGGCTTGTATTCCTGCCGGTTGTGTGTGCTTGTTTGCAATTCAGATTTATAAAATACATTGATTTCTGCCAACCAGAGAAGTAAAAATAGTTTTTCATGGTAGTTTTAATTTGCTTTTTCTTTCTTTATGTATCTGGTTGTTGGAGGTTCTCCTTACACAGTTCGGACTCGTGGTGATGCTCCTGCTTTCAGCCTCCCCAGCGCTGGCCTTACAGGCGGGCACCACTATGCCCAGACTCTGGCCGGCTCAGCCCGCCCTGGGCTTGGGACTGGCTTGCCATGTGGTGCTGGGGATGGAACCTCAGTCCCTGCGCTAGCCTAGGCTTGCCTAAGCGAGCACTTTAGTCTGCTGAGCTATCTTGCCAGCCCCCTTAATTTGGTTTTCTGATTATGGGGCAAAACCATCCTTTTTCCAAATTTTGAAAAAACATTTGAATTCCCTGTGCTTCAAGCCTCCTACCTATCCTCCTCTCCCCTTTTCCTGCTGGGTCATCTCTCTCTCTCCCCTTTTTTTTTTTTTTGTTTGTTTGTTTGCAGGTGAGAGAGATCAGTAGCTACTTATTATATACACCACATGCATGTTCCCCTTATCTGCCATTTGCTTTTTGATTATGCTTTTTTCTTTTACCCTGTAGTAAATTTCATTTATTTACATAATTAAATTTACCAGTTTTTTTTTTTTTTTTTCTTCATGGCTTTTGGGTTCTGTATTGGATTAGAGAGGCCTTAACCCCTACAGCGCTCCGCAGGCTCTCCCATGGGATGTGGTCTCTGCTGTCTGAAGCTCATCCTGGGTGGGCTCTCCTGCACAGATGGTTCTCCCTCGGCTGGCTCACTGTCTTCCAGATGGATGGGAGATCCTTCTAAACGGGCGATCCCAGGGCAGGAGTTAAGAGTCAGTGCCCATCCTCCCTCCCTCCAGCTGAGTGGGGGAGTGGGTCTGCTCTGCATCTTCCGCCCTCAGCATGCCTGCTGTTGTCACTGCTGCTGTTGTCACTGGACCCACGGTCTGGTGGGACTTGGGGCGGAGTGTGTGGGGGGGGAGTGTGAAGTCGGCTGCCATCCTGGGAGGCCAAGGGAGGCCAGCTAACTTCCCTTTTCTGTTCTTCCTTATCAAGGGAAAGGGATCAGAAATCTGTTTAGTGTGGGCGTGAAAGTGTTTCCATTGTAAAGGGAGGCGCCCACAGAGGGCAGCATGTGAAGAAGTGCGTCACACATGGTGGCACTCGGGGAAGAGTCAAGGGAAAATGAGGATGCTCTTTCTGGCAGGAGAGCCTGGTGGATTGTCGGTCAGTGTACTAGCTCTGTTGCCTGGACACTCTGTGGACAGTCAGTCCTAGTGACACTGGGTGAGGGGAGGGCCCTGTGGTCTCTACTTTCTCTTCCTGGTCTGGAGCCTGGCACCCAGAAGGCCCCCCTGTGTCCTTGCTGAGGGGACATGTGCAGGGGCTCCAGCGAGGGACTGGCTCCTGCTGGCACACCACACCAGCCTCATCACAGCTGGCAGTCAAGATGGCTGTCATACTGCGTTGAAAGGACAGACTGACTGGCTCATGCTTCCCTTGGGAAGGAAGTAGAAGGGAGGATTTCCAGTGTAAGGACCAACTCCACTTGCTTGTCCTAAGTCCCTCACCCTTACTGACTCAGCCTCCACCCCCAGCCCAGTCCTGAGCTGGGCCTAAGAAAGAGAGGAAACTGAGGCACAAATTGGGCCAGGGGTTTGCTGAGTCACAGAGCATGCTGGCACTGGTATGCGGTCCCCAAGGTGGAGTCAACCCGGGGGATCATGCAGAGCCGGTTGAGGGTGCATTCCGTTGGGGAGCACCAGCTTTGCCCTGCACGCTGTCATCAGGAGGAGTGTGCGGGTGGGAGGGGAGCTCCTGCCTGCCACTCCCTCTGCCTAGATTGGAGCCTGCCCCGCCCTGGGTCCCAAGTCTTCCTTTTGGGTTCATTACTGCTTTGTTCCCACAGTGTGGTCTGTTTTCTACTATGGCTTTGCAGACCGCGTGGTCACCAGCGTCCGAGTTGACCTGCAAAGGAATGGGACCAGGCTGGTGGTGCAGAGCTGGGAAAGGGTGCTCCTTTGCCCTGGACACCTCTGTGCTGGGCATGGGGGTGCAGCAGGCTTAGTCCCTGCTCTGGGGCACTCCTCTTCTACACTCATCTTCTGCCCGATAGCCACCCTTCCTGCACTCTGCTGCACCCTGGCTGTACCCCTTTCTCCTTGGCCATGCTTGCCTTCCCCGCTTCCTGCTTGCACACTGATCCAAGCATCTTCCACACCCAGCGTGGACAGGTGACACGCAGATCCTGCCATGGCAGTGTGAGACAGGGGCTGGCTGTGTGAGAGAGGTCAGACACCAATGTGACAGGCACACAGAGGCCTGAGGTCCACTGGGTTCTGAAGCCAGGCAGGTAAGAGGGCAGAGGCCAGCAAGACTTGGGCCCTTGGGCCCTGAGGTTTCCAGGGTACCCACTTGGGTTATGCCTGGGCTGAGCAAGCTCAGAATGGTGGCAGGAGATGATAATGGTGTGAATCTCAGCGAAGTGGGGAGGAATCTGCCTGTGTCCCACCCCCTGCCCCTCCACCAGGGGGACCCCCCAGGTAGCTGAGCAGGCCAGGGAGCCAAGTGGGCTTGTGACTTTTAGCTGTGACAGCGTGACTGACTGGATATCCAGGAAGGTTGTGGCATAAGGGCCTGTTGGGGCCTCTCCTCCCTGCAGGCCTGCTGCTCCTCATGACTAATGGCCCCCACTTCTGTTTTTGAAGCCACTAGGGCTGAGGCCTGTGTCCCTCCAGGTCCTGCTGACGTTGGCCAGAGTAAGCCAGGCTGGGTTTCCTGTCAGTGCAGTTTGGCTGAGGGGTGGGGGCCTATCTGTGCCTGTGACGGTGAGGATGCCTAGCGTTGCTGCCCCAAGAACACAGTGGGCCTGAGTGGGCTGTGGGCCTTTCCTGCATCCTGGGCTCAGCCCCACAAGGGGCCCAGCCTCCTGCCTCAGGCGATTCCTCAGCTGGGACCCCAGCTCTAACCAGTGTGCCTCTGGTGGGGAGGACACAGTTCTGCCTGGGAGGTGGGACAGGGAGATGGGTGTGGGTGACTCTGGGCTTCCTGAGCAGACCTCTTGCATCCAGCTGCCTGACCTTGCTTTTGCAAAGCCAAGCAGGGCAGCAGGGCACGGCAGCAGCCCCATGCTCTGCTGAGGTTTACTCAGCTCCCTGCCACTGAGGTGTGCAAGCGGGGGCTCAGGTCATGTGCAGAGATATGGTAAAGGAATTCCTGCATCTGGGGCCCAGGAGACCCTCTCAGTGGTTGGCAGCCTCCGTGACTAGCACAGGAGCAGGTAACTGGACAGAGAAACTGTCCTGGCAGCAGGCTCTTTCGGCTCTGGCTTTGGGATGGCTTGAGAGAGGAGACACCCATGGACGTGCCGTGGCCACGGACTCCTGAGTCTTCCTCCTAGATCCTAGCCCCCAGCCATGCCTTGCTGTCTGGCTCATCCCGGGAGCTGAACATGGTCCCTGTGCCCAAGGCCACCCATTATGTCCTTGCCTTCCTGCCTGCCTGTTGCTGGGAAAGTAGCCTAATTAGATCCTGAGAGCAGTATATACCACAGCCTGGGTCTCCACAGCCTCACTGTGTGCACCAGGAGGAGCGTGAGGTGGCCCAGGATGAGTGTGTGGGGATGGTGTGTGCTGCGTATCTGTGTCCTGGCAGCCTGAGACTGCATTCTGAGGCTTTGCCTGGAGAGTGGAACTGCTGTGGAGAGTTGGGCCCCACTTTGGTGTTGAGACGGGCCAGTGCACTGGGGTTTGACCCTAAGCCAGAGGGGCTGGCAGTGCTGCTGTTTGTGTACTTGTGGCATCTGGCTTGGTCCCCTAGGATGTCAGTGCAAAGCCTGGCCAAGGAGCTGTGGTTTGGGAGTGGGCAGACCCAGGTTCAAATCTCAGTCCTTCCACCAACCTGCTCCGGCTGTGTGACCTCAGGCAAGCCACTGCCTCTCTGGGCTCCGCTGAGGTGCCTCCCGCAAGTTAAGAAGTTGAGTATGATCTTGCGTGCGATGCCTGTTGTCATGGAAGCTGCTGCAGACAGCTCTCGTAGGGGTTCCTGGACAGGGTGTGGTAGGGTTGGGTGGGCACACAGTGGGGCCAACAGTGCTTCTGTGGAACACTTACTCACTTGGGGTTGAGGTAGCGGACCAGAGGGCTGCACCACATAGATGTTTTAAATTAGCTGCCAACATTTAAAATCATTATTTCACGTGGAAATCAGATTTGTAGCTTGTCTAAACTGGGCACTTTGGCAGCCTTGGCCTGACCCCAAAGGGAGGCATTCAGACTTCCAGAGTGCTGCTGTGTTGCCGGAGTTTTTGCAGTGATAGAAGATACTATGTCTGTGTTGTCCGTGGCAGTCGCCAGTGGCCACCTGAATAGGCCACCTGAAGAATGTGTGACTGAAGGATTAGGGTTTCTATGTCACTAGACTTTATTTTTTGTTTGTTTTTTGAGACAAGGTCTCACTATTTAGTTCTGGCTGGCCTTGAGCTCACTATGCATCCCAGGCTGGCCTCAAACTTGTGGTGACCTCCTGCCTCAGCCTCCTGGGTGCTGGGATTACAGGCGTGAGCTGCCACACCTGGCTGTTTGAGTTAATTTGAATTCACGTGTAAATACCACCTGTGACTGGTGGCTACAGTGCTGGATGGAGCTGTTCTGGGAAGACTTTGGCTTGGGCCCACACACTCCTGATCCAGCACTTTGCCAGTGTGGCCCAGGAGCTAAACCCTGGTTCTGTTTTGGCTCCACAGAGCTGAAGACCCCGCGTGTCTGGTCGGCCTGTCCTGGACTCCGGCAGCAGCACAGTGCACCCACCACCTATCGTCCATGGAGCTGCAGGCCCAGCCTGCCCAGCCCTACTGCCTAGCCCTGGAGAGGCCACAGGCCTAGGCCCGCAGAGGAGGGTGCCAACCAGCAGATGCTCCCAGACTGCAGGGGAAAAGCACCGACTGGAGGATGCCGGCCAAGGGGCGCTACTTCCTCAACGAGGGTGAGGAGGGCCCAGACCAGGCCGCGCTCTATGAGAAGTACCGCCTCACCAGCCAGCACGGGCCACTGCTGCTCCTGCTCCTGGTGGTGGCCGTCGCTGCCTGTGTGGGGCTCATCGCCATCTCCTTCAGCCATGAGGTGAGTGGGCGGGCAGCATTCAGGGCACCCTGTGACCCTGGGCTAGTTGTTATTATCAATCTTTTTCTAAAATTTATTTTAAAAAATTTATTTGAGGGCTGGTGAGATGGCTCAGTGGTCTAAAGCACCTACTTAGAACAAGCTTAGCAAAACACAGGGACCGCAGTTCAATCCCCCAGCACCACATGCCAGCCAGCCCCGCCCCCTGATGGGCTGAGCTGCCCCCCCACACAAATAAATAAATATTAAAAAAAATTTATTTGATACAGGGTCTCACTATGCAGCTTGGACTCATAGCAAGCCAACATAACAAGACATGTTCTCTTTTTTTAAAAAAAGGAATCAGGAGCTCATCCTCCTGTTTTCAGCCTCCCCAGGGCTGGGATTACAGGCTTGTACCACCATGCCCAGTCTCCGTGGCTGACTCAGCACACCTGTGGGCAGGGGCAGTATGGCATGGCATGGGTGCCAGGGGATCAAACCCCAGTCCCTGTGCTTGCCTAAGCAGGTGCTTAGTCCGCTGAGCTATCTTGCTGGCCCTGGGCCAGTTGTTATCTTCTTGAAGTTTCTTCCTTAGTACATGTGACTCAGTGTGTGGGATGGTGGAGGACAGGCTCGTCTGAGTTGCATTTGGAGGCCTGGGTGTTTTCAGATATTACATTTATTGGGCCAAATGAATTGCCTTCCTTTTCTCCACCATCACATCTGATCCTTTGGAAGACTGGAATGAGGGTGGGGCCATGACAGACGCTGTGAAGGGAAGCCAGGGCCCCCGGCCCAGTCTGGCTGTGGCATCAGTCCTCTTCTCACCGAGCTACATCCTCAGCCCTTCTCTCAACAAAATTTTACTTTGAGATATGGTCTTGCTAAGTTGCTTAGTGTGGACTTGTGCTTGCTGTCTTCCTGCGTCTGTCTCCCAGGATATTGTGATGAAAGAAAGGAGCCTCCTGATTCCTTTTTTAAAAAGAGAGAACATGCCTTGCTATGTTGGCCAGGCAGACCTCAAGCTCCTGTGCACAAATAATCCTCCTGCCTCAGCCTCTTGAACATCTGGGACCACAGGCACCTGCTCTCCCACCTGCGAATCCCTCGGTTGGAGCTCTCTGAGCAGACGCCGCCACCACCATGCCTGACCTCGCAGCAGCTGCTAGCTGTGTGCAGCTTGAACTGTGGCTGGGATGAGGGCCTGCATTTTTCATTTCCTTTTTGGTGAATAAATGTAGAGCGCTCCAGAAGTGGACATCAGAGCCTGGGGTTAGCCTGCATGGGTGCCTGGGCCTGAGCGCTGCAGCCCCCGTAAACTTGTTTCCTGTCACTCCCAGGAGCTGCTGAGAGCCTGCTGTGCCTGCTCTGGCTCAGGCCTCTGCCTTCACAGAGCTTAGGTCTGTGGCAGTGCACCAGGCCCTGTGGGTGCGGTGTGAGCTGCACTGCTGCTTTCTGGGTGTCTCTTGTCACCCTCCGAGCCTTCGCCCTTGCCCCTCCCCAGCGCAAGCAATAGAGGGGCACCTGCTACCTGCATCCACTGGAGCCCACTGTTTATTCCTTTTTTCTTTTCAGTCCTGGAAATTGAATCCAGAGCCTTTGCACTGAGCCACCTCTCCAGCCCTCTTAATATTTTTTATTTTGAGACTCACTAATTTGTCCAGCTTGGGCTGGAACTTGTGATCTTCCTGGCTCAGTCTCCCAGAGCACTGGGAATGTCAGGGGAGAGCCACCCACCCTGTTCCTCTGTTTGTTCTTGGAGAATCAGGCATAGCTAGGAACAGTGGCACACACCTGCCATCCAGTTACTCAGGAAGCTGAAGCAGAAGGCTCATGATTGCTGTGCTGTTCGTCCCGCAGGACCCCTCAGAGCAGCAGGCTGTCCTGGTCACGGCGTTCGTGACTCTGGCTGTGTTCGTGGCTCTGTACGTGCTGGTGTATGTGGAGTGCCTGGTCCGGCGGTGGCTCCGGGCCTCGGCACTGCTCACCTGGGCCTGCCTGGTGACGCTGGGCTACGTGCTGGCCTGGAACGCCTGGAGGAGGGCGGCTTGTGCGTGGGCGCAGGTAACTGGGGGGGTGGGAGTCTCCCTACCATTAGCTGCTGCCTGTGCTGGTGCTGTGGGCTGGAGCTAAGATGGGCCCCAGACCAGTTCTGTTCCCAGTTCTGTGTGCTGTTGGGTGTGGGCTGGGAGAAGCATCCACTTAGGGGTGTGGCCATGGCCCTTGGAGGGACCCTCACTTGGTCCCTGAGGATGGAGCTCCAGCTCAGAGAAGCTAAGAAGCACCAACTGGCTCTTGTGCCATGAAGGACCCAGGAGGGAAGCCAAACCCCATTACTCCTGCTGATTCTGCTTTCCTGGGGTTCATCCTGGGGTATGCTCCCCCCAGCTGCAGAAGCTTGTAGGCTGCTCCACGCCAGGTTGTCTGCCCCCCTCTGAAAGATAGGGCCCCTTCTCACCTAAGCTTGGGTATCAGCTTGGCTGTGCCTAGTGGTGGTATGGTGGTATGCTGTGGTCACTTCTGTGGCTGGGTGGGTGGGTGGGGACAAGGTTCTTGGAACCCAATTGCTGAAGGCCAGGAAGGGTGGGTGCAGGGTCTGCCAGGGCAGGGGTCAGGAGGGCTCTGGGCAGCATCCCTTCCCGGCAGGGCACTAAGCTGGGGTTGCCTAGGTAACAGGGCCATGAGGATCTTGTCATAGACAGCAGGTAGGAAAGGAGGCACAGTGCAGGACTGTGCTTTGTGCTTGTTGTGCCTGCTGCTGCATCTAGCCATAAAGGGAGATAGGTAATGGGCTGCCCGAGGACAGAGGCCCCTGAGAGAATTGTCCGCAGGAGACCAGAGGCTGTGGGGCCTGATGTCAGCTCCATCCTGGGCTGTGTCCAGACCCTGGCAGTGTGGCCAGCCCCAGTCTCCTGACACCCGGTCTCCAGGTACCCTTCTTCCTATTCGTGGTCTTCGTGGTGTACACGCTGCTGCCCTTCAGCATGCAGGCAGCTGTCACTGTGGGCGTGATCTCCACCGTCTCCCACCTCCTGGTGTTTGGTGCCCTCATGGAGGTTTTCATGGCACCCAACCTTAGGGTGGGGCTGCAGGTGAGTGACAGGGTGAAGGGCAGAGTGGAATGGGTGGCCAGGGTGATCAGAACCTGAAGACTTGGGGCCCGAGCTTGCAGACAGGCTGGGCTAGGCTTCCTCCAGCTCTGCTGGGGACCTGCCCGAGGTGGGCCCTTCCCTGTGCTGCTCATCTAGGGCATCCCTGTTGAGGCTGCCCCTGAAGTCTCCTTTGGGTCCTGACTTGCTGGCTGGGCTGAGGGCATGGCCCAGGGCACTGCGTCTTGTGCCTGTGTGTTGAGTAAACTTGCTCATGGTCAGTAGGGTTGTGGAGATGTCTAAGAGGACTCCATGCCTCCCATCTGCCTGGGTGCCCATTCCTGGGGGAGGCCCTGGGCAGCCGCTCTGTCTTCCTCCTCCTGTGCCTGCTGTTGGCTCTGTGAGGTGGCTGCTTCTGTTTCCCTGGAAGTGTCTGGCCTCCCCTGGCCAAGCCCTATTGGACAGCACAGATGCCCACTGGACTAGAGAGGGCCCTGGCCTGGTCTTGCTGTCACAGTGATTCAAACAGACCAGCCCCTGTCTGGACCTTATCTTCTCTGCCTGCCCCAGGAAAAGTGCTGACTTGAGTGGATTGGGGGGTCAGTGGATTGCCAAGGAGGCTAGGTCCAGGGTGAGATGGCCACACCAGGCTGAACGCCTGGCCCTTGCCTGCCCTCAGCTGCTAGCCAATGCCACTGTCCTCCTGTGTGGGAACATCACGGGTGCTTTCCACAAGCACCAGATGCAGGATGCCTCCCGGGACCTGTTCACCTACACTGTCAAGTGCATCCAGATCCGTAGGAAGCTGCGCATTGAGAAGCGCCAGCAGGTGAGGACCTTGCTCCCTTTGGAGCCAGGCCTGGCCCTTGCCCCATTGTCCTGTCCCCCAAAGCACTCCCCATTCAATCCTTCTCTCTGTTAGACATCAGATACTTGTCAAGCATGGGTTCTGCTTAGTCAGTTTCCCATGGCTGGGAGAAAATACCTGACACATGCACTTTAAAGGGGGAGATTTATTTGGTTCAGTTTCAGAGGTTTGGTTCAGGGTCAGCTGACTTGAAAGCAGAAATGGCATAATGCAAGAGTGTGGTGGGACAAAACTGCTTGCCTTGTGATGGCCAGGAAGCAGAGAGAGTAGGAGGAGCCAGAGAGGGAAACACCCTACAAGCGGGGACCTACCTCCTTCACAGAAGCTCCACCCCTACCAGCACAGTCAGCTGTGAGCATAGTCCTAGATTAATCCACTGATGAGGATAGCATCCCCAAGACCCAATCACCTGCAGAAAGCCCCACCTGGAGACACAAGAGTCTTTGGGGGAGATTTAAAATCTAAACCATAGCAGCATGCATGGCTGGGCCCCCATGGGTCTTGCTCCTGGGGGCTCCTAGGGACATGAGAGGCTGTGTGCCCCACTGGGTTAATGCTGGATGCAAGCTAGCAGAGAACAAGCCAGCATCGTGGGCAGATGGGGAAGATTGGCAGGGAGAGCCTGCCAATCTGCAAGGAGAGCAGAGGCTAGGCAGGCCAGCCCTGGGGCCTGACACCGCCCTGCCTGCCCCTACTGATCCCCTCCTTATCTGCCACTTTTACCCAGGAGAACCTGTTACTGTCAGTGCTGCCCGCCCACATCTCCATGGGCATGAAGCTGGCCATCATCGAGCGGCTTAAGGATGGTGGGGACCGCCGATACATGCCTGACAACAACTTCCACAGCCTCTATGTCAAGCGGCACCAGAATGTCAGGTGAGGGTATCCCCTGAGAATGGGGGCCACCATGTCCCAGCTCAGCCAGGCAGGCCCCCTGCCCTTTGGAAAGTTAAGTCCCCACCCACATGGGGTTGGGCAGTGGGTGTCCCTTCTTGGGCCTCAGGCTCCCCTCTGCCTCCCAGGTGTAGGATTGGATCAGATTCAGAAATAAGAGTTAGGCTGGTAGTGGGGAAGTTCTCTCATCCCCTCCAAAGGAAGTGAAGCCCCAGTCCTGTCGCTGTCCCGGGCTGTGAGTACTCTGAGCTGACTTAGTCCAGGCATGAGTGCTATGGGCAACCGGACCTCTGCATGAAGTCCAAGGTTAAGCTCTGCTGCTATCTCTCTGGGCTGTGGACCTGCCGGGGGCTGTGGGCAGCAGGGCAGGGAGATGTGGTAGGAGTTAGCGCTCTCCTTCTGGAGCCTCGGTCTGCTCATCTGTAGAACATGTGTCCTGCAGGTCTGAGGAAGCAAAAGTAGCATCTGACTGGGGAGTTTACTTCTTCTCTTACATAGGGCAAGCATCTGGGAACAGAAAGGGAGCAGGGTCCAGAGCTGTGTGTGTATGGGGGGCCCCCCCAAACACCTGCAGTGATGGGCCTGCTATGGCCAGGTTTGACTCTGTCCTGCTATCATGAGAAGCCTCTGGAACTTTTTTATCCTATGGCTGGGGCAACTCTCCTGTCAAAAGGCTGGGCCTCACGAGGCCGTGGCCCTGACTCTGACTCTGGCCTGCCCCCAGTATCCTGTATGCAGATATCGTGGGCTTCACTCAGCTGGCCAGCGACTGCTCCCCCAAGGAACTGGTGGTGATGCTGAATGAGCTCTTTGGCAAGTTTGACCAGATCGCCAAGGTGAGCCTGGACTGTGTGGCCAAGCCGTAGCTGAAAGGAGACCGGGGCCCTTGGCTGAGTTTTAGCATCCCCGCAGCAGTGGGGGCTGTTGAGACTCCAGATGAGGGTGGGGGTGGGGAGGCTCACGTGGTGGCCAAGGCCTCAGGAAGCCTGTGTGCCCCACCCCTACCCTGCAGCATGCCAGGCTGGTGGGGAGGCTGCTGTTCACATCTGCAGGTGGCTCAGGGCTCAGGAGCTCAGGCAGGGCACCTGTGGGAGGTGGCACCCTCCTCCCTGTGCAGTCTCTCCTGGGAGCCTTGAAGGTTGCTGGTGCTCTGTTACCCAGAGCCTGCTTTTCACAAGATACCAGGTGAATCCTGCACACCAGAAAACTCAAAAGACCTAAAAAAGAGATCTGAAGAGGTCAGGGAGGTGGGGCAACAGCATGTGGAAAGGAAGCTGTGTGTGCTTGGAAGAGACATGGACCCAGGGGACTGGGACACGGTATGCGGTGGCTGGGCTGAGGGGCGCAGTTGTCCCCAGAATGCTGAGGAGCATGGCAGGTACCAGGCAAGGTGGGCACCATACAAGGAGGGATTTTCTTTTCTTTCCTTAATTTTATTTTAAAAAGAAAAAAAGCAAAATTTACAAATAAGATAATAGAATGATAAAAATGTCTAACACATTGCGTATTGTTATCTTTAAAGTAGTTACTCAGAGTACAAGATACATGCAGTTAATTGTCCAAACAGTATTACAAACCTTCCTTTTCAGTGAACTAAGATAAATTAGTAGTATAATGAGCTGACATATCTTGTAGATGTGTGTATATGTATGTATTGCTTTTTTGACTCCCTTCCTTCTTTTCTCCTTTCCTCATCTCTGTTTCTCTTTCCTTTTGAAGTTTCTTCCTATTTTAAAATATCTGTTGTACCTCTTGGATCTTATTTACTCTTTCAGCTTCTCACATTAGGGAGACAATATGATCACGCATGTGAGGAGTCTGGTCTGTGTCGCTCATGAGTATGGTCTTGAGTTGCATCCATTTACCTATAAAAGTCTCCAATTCATCCTTTCTTATGGCTGAGTAGTATTGCACTGTAGAAGAAGGCCATGTCTTTTTTTATCTATTCCTTGGTTGGCAGGCATTTGAGCATCTAGCTATGATAAATTGTGCTGCTATATATATGGATGTACATGTATCACTGTGGTATGATGTTTTTAATTCTTCCGGGAAGATACTGGGTCAAATGGAACCCCCAAACCTAGTCTTTTGAGGAATCTCCACATTTTTTTTTTTTTTTACAGTAGCAGCACCAGTCTACACTCCCACCAACAGTGGAGAAGAGTTCCTTTTTTCCCACAGCCCCTCCAGCGTTTGTTATTGGTTGAGTTCTTGACAATAGCCATTCTTTTCAGGGTTAGATGGAATCTCAGTGTTTGTTGTTTTAATTTGTATCTCTTGAATGACCACTGATGCTCAACATTTTCTGGTGTATTTATTTGCTGTTTTTACTTCTTCCTCTGAGAAGTGTATATTCACCTCCAATGCCCAGTTTTGGATTGGGTCTTTAAATTTAGGAGGTCTGATTTTCTTGAGTTCTTTTTCTGTTCTTAATAGTAATCCTTCATCTGAGGAACATCAGGCAAACTTTTTTTTCACACTGTGAGTTGTCTTTTCACTCTGTGGGTGGTTTCTCTGGCTGTGTGAAGGCTTTTTAATGATATGAGATCCCAGTTGTTGATTTTGTGAAAGTCCTATGTGATCAGGATTTTATTCATAATGTCTTTGCCTACACCAGTGTCTTCAAGAGTTTTACCTATTCCATCTACCAACAGGTTTAATCTTTCTGTTTTAATATTGAGATCTTTGATCCATTTAAGATTTATTTTAGTGTATGGTGAAAGATATGGGTCCAATTTTAATTTTTGATGTGTGCTGAGCCAGTTTTTCCAGCAACATTTATTGATGAGGCTGTCTTTCTTTCAGTGAATGTGTTTGGCCCTTTAGTCAAAGATAAGGTGGCTCAGTATGTCTGAAGGTGTTTCTGCAACTTCTAATCTGTTCTATCATCTTTATGTCTGATTTTTGCCAGTACCATGTTTTTTATTATAGTAGTTTTACAGTATAAATTTCAAGTCAGGGATTGTGATACCCCTGCTTTGCCTTTGTTGCCCAGAATTGCCTTTGCTGTTGTAGATATCTTCTGATTCCAAATGAATTTTAAGATTGTTTCCTCTAATTCTGTGAGATATGCTGTTGGAATTTTTATTGCAATTGCATTAAATCTGAATAACAGTTTTAGAAGTATGGCCATTTTCACTATATTGGTTCTTCCTACCCAAGAGCAAGGGATATCTTTCCATTTTCTGATATCTTCTTCAATCTCTTTTTTTCAGAGTATTGTAGTTTTCAACACAGATGGTTAGCTTGATTCCTAGGTATTTTGTTCTTTTGGATGCTATTGTGAAGGGTGTTTTCTTAATTTCTCTTTGTGAGTTTGTCATTTGTGTTCAAGAAGGCTACTGATTTTTGAGAGTTGACTTTGTATCTAGTTATGCTACCAAATTTTATTAAATCTAGGATTTTTTAGTGGCATTCTTGGGGTCTTCTAAGTAGATTATCATGTCATTCACAAATAATGATAATTTAATTTTTTCCTTTACATTGTTATTCTTTTCATTTCTTTCTCTTGTTTAATTGCTCTGGTTAGAGTTTTTAGGACTATGTTGAATAAGATTGGAGAGAGTGGACATCCTTGTTTTTTTTTTTTTTTTTTTTTTTTTTTCAGAACTGGGGATTGAACTCAGGCTCTTGCACTTGCCAGGCAAGCGCTTATCCTACTGAGCTATCTCCCAGCCCCTATCCTTCTTTTGTTTCTGATTTTAGAATCAAAGCTTTCAGTTTTTGTGTTGCTTCAGTTTTAGCGTGAAAGTTTTCATTTAGTGTGATGTGGGCTGTTTAGATGGCATTTATCAGATTGAGATAAATATCTATTCCAATTTTCCATAGGGTTTATTATTATATTATTTAATTTAATTTATTTTAAATGTATTAATTTGGTACAAGGTCTCATTACACAGCTCAGACTTGTAGTAATCCTCCCAGCCTCCTCAGCGCTGGGATTACAGGTGTCCACCATCACACCCAAACCCCGTTGCTGGCCCAGCATACCTGGGGGCAGGACCAGCCTGGCATGTGGTACAGGGATTCCTGGCTTCTGGACTTACCTAAGCAGGTGCTTAGTCTGCTGAGCTCTCTCTGGCTGTAGGGTTTTAACCAAGAATGGGTGCTGGGTGCTGGACTTCATCAAAAGCTTTTTGTGTAGCTATTGAGATGATCATATGGTTTTTGTCTGTGGCTCTGTTAATATGATATATTATAGTCATTGATTTATGTATGTTGAACCATCCCTGCATTCCTGGGATGAATCTGACTTGGTCATGATGTATAATCTTTTTGATGATTTGTTACATTCTGCTTGCCAGTATCTTATTGAGAATTTTTGCATCTACGCTCATTAAATAAACTGGCCTGTAGTTCAGCTGGGTCCTTCTCCAATTGGGTCCTTAGTTGGGTCCTCCTCCAATTTTGGTATGAGGGTAATGCTTGCTTCCAGGAGTGAATTTGGAAGTACTGCTTCCCTTTCAATTTCATTAAAGAGTTTGTAAAGTAGTGGTATTAGGTCTTCTCTAAATTTCTTATACAATTCAGCAGTGAATCTGTCAAGGCCTGGGCTTTTCTTTGTTGGTAGATTTTTATTTCATTGATTGATACTGATTTATTTAGGATTTTTATATCTTTAGCTTTGTTAATTCATATGTATCTAAGAATCTGTCCATTTGTTCTGCATGTTTTCACCTTATTAAAATACAGGTTTTCAAATTAGGTATAGATGATCTTCTGGATTTCTACAGGGTCTGTTGTGACTTCACTGTTTTCATTCCTAACTGTGTGGATTTAAGTCTTTTTTCCTTTTTTTTTTTTTTTTTGATAAGATTGGCTAAGGTTTTGTCAATTTTATTTAATCTTTCAAAGAACCAACTCTTCAGTTTATTGATACTGTATATTCTTTTCTTAGAAATAGAATGTTAATTTCTGCTCTGATCTCTATTATTTCCTCTATCATATGAACTTTTGGCTTAGTCTGCTCTTTATTTTCTAGAAGTTTGAGGTTCATCATTAAGGTGTTTATTTCACTTGCTCTATTTTTCTGATATGTGTATTCACCAACCTAAATTTCCCTCTTAGGGCTGCTTACATTGTATCCCATAAGTTCTGGTGTGTTGTATTGTCACTGTCATTTAATTATAGAAACTGTCTAATTCTTTAATTGCGTCTGTGACCCATTGATTGTTCATGGGGGCACTATTTAATTTCCATGTGTTTTTAAAGTTCTCATGGTTTCTTTGGCCATTGATTTCTAATTTTATTGCACTATGGTCTGGCAATATACATGGGATAATTTTAATTCCTTTATATTTACGTAAGCATTTTCTATGAGCTAGTATATGGTCTGTTTTATAAAGCTTCCTGTGTGCAACTAAGAAGAATGTGTGTTCTGAAAAAAATGTACCCTGAGGGGCCCGGGATATAGCTCAGTGGCATAAGTGCCGGCCTGACTGGTGCAAGGGCCTGTGTTTGATCTCTGGTACTAAAAAAAAAAAGTGCAAGGTGGTGGGACACTGTAGCCATCTACTAAGTCCATTCATTCAAGAGTTTGGTTAAGTTCTAATATTTCATTATTGATTTTTTTTGTCCAGTTGATCTGTCTTTTTGTGGGGTTTTGGGACCCCCCAGTAAATTGTATTAGTGTTTATTTGATTTTTCATTTTCATTAATATATGTTTTATATAGTTTAGTGTATATGTATTTGGTGTATATATATTCAAGATTGTTATCTTTTCCTCTTGTATTGTTCCCTTTAAAAGGATGTAATAACATTTTTTTCTCTCTTAATAAGTCTCGGCCTAAAATTCATTTTATCTGCTAATAAAATATCTATCCCTGCTATTTTCTGGGTTCCTGTTGCATGGAGTATTATTTTCCATCCTTTGACTTTCAGTCCAATTTTTTTCTTCCCTCCCCTCCCCTTCCCTCCCCTCCCCTCCCCTCCTCTCCTCCATCTCCTCCTCGTCCTTGTCCTTGTCCTCATCCTCGTCCTCCT